TTCGTGCGTAAGCGGATTAGCGGATCGCCAATTACAACATCATTCTGTTAGATCTACTTGCAAAATGTGTAATTGGCGATCCGCTAATCCGCTTACGCACGAACCGCTCCATGGGACATTAAGGGCAAAATTATCGCGTACGTAAAACGGCGGGTCGTTAGCGATTCTTATTTCATGTAGAAGTGCTCCTTAACCAAAAAGGTAGATACAAATAAATACGGTAGTATATTAGAGTCCTGATTGAAAGAAATTATAATCTATTCAGTACTATTTAGTACAAAATAAGATGTTATTTTTGTTACAGAAAAAATGAATTCAAATGAAGACTATATATTGTTAGCAATTTTTACATTAGTAAACAAATTCAAACAAAGTAATCCCTTTAAACATGAAATACTGCGTCGAAAAATCTTATTTTTGTATGCATTGTATGAGGATATAAGAAACAAAGGAAAAGACAAACAACGTCAATTTGGGTACGACCCATATTTATTGTGCATCGACGTTTCTTGCAAGGAGCTAGTGAAAATCTCGTCAAAGAAATGGAATTTGAAGATGAAACAAAATTTCGTAATTACTTTAGAATGGATTCAATTACATTAAAAAAATTATTAGAATTAATTGGTCCATTAATTACGAAGCAGTCTGTCGTTCGCGAATCAATTCCCTCTGAAACGCGTTTACATATCACACTCCGCTATCTAGCTTCAGGAGACAGCATGATGTCAATATCATATGCTTTTCGTGTTGCCCACAACACCGTTTCAAAAATAATAGCGGAGACTTGCAACGCTATATGGAATGTTTTAAAGGAGATAGTTTTTCTTGAAGATAAAGTAAAGAATTGGCAAAACATTGCTGAATTGCTGCAGATTTTGACTATTTTTGGAATTATCCCAACTGTGTTGGTTGTATTGATGGCAAGCATGTAGTTTGTATCTCAAATTGATGTCTCTCGTATTGGGAGGACTCGTAGACGATCTCCTATTTGAAGCAGGAATCCATCCACTGCATCCTTTCTTGTAGACTCACTTTCAAGGGCTGAGCAAATTGCTGCTCTTATATCACTGCTGTTATCATCATTTCTCGATTCTAAAGGCAATGAATGATTGAAAAACCTTTGATAACTTTCTTTATTATATTAGAGAGCACCAATAAATAATTAAAAAATTTACTTTTTGATGCCCGTCGTTGGTAGCTTGACAAGGATAAAGAGTCACTAATTGGCGACTACTGACTGTCAGTAGAAGTTGACGGTTGAGGTACCGTCATCAGTATAGGATTTGCAGTTGCCAACTCAATTTTTTCAGCAATATCGCTTGTATTCTCTGGCAAACTACTGACAGTTCTACATAAACACAAATTAATTTAATTATTTTAGAATTTCTTTTATAGACTACTATGTATAACTATCTACGAAATACGATGGGAAACTATGATGGATAGATTCGAAACAAAAACAAATTTTGACAGCAAAAATAAGCCCGGATCTTCATACGGGCAACACCGCTTTGACACCGAGAGCTGATTTATGAAGAGCCAATTGTGGGGGTAAATTTTACTCCCACAACCGGCTTTTCACCAATCAGCGTACGGTATCAGACCGCTGTTGTCTGATATACCATATGAGGATCCAGGCTTAGTTTTTCAGTGTTAGTCAACATTTACCAAATTTTCAGATTACCATACTATTCATTTTAATGCATTGATTGAAAATTTCATTTAATATCTATTATAAATAACTTACACTGATTTATCCAGAACATCATCAAGGAACTTCATTTGTTCATATAAACGAAATGTTGATTTTGCATTTTTTGTGCTACGCACAGCCGATCCGCTTGGCAAATATTCTTTAATCTTCCGCTTTGACTTTATGTAACAATCACAAAGTTGCTTCCATCTTTTTTGCACATTCTCTACATCTTTTCCTGCATTAAAAAAATACAAATACTGTAATGTTTATTTGGAAATAATTTAAGCTGACATAATCATGACTACATCTTACTTTATTGACAATTCTTATTGAAACTAATGATATATTAATATTACTGAATGATATATTCATATCTTCATAATAATTACATTTTATTTAAAAAAAAAAGTTTGTTTATAATAAAAACTTTTGAACGTACCTCCTACAATGTTGAGTATTTCGTTCCATAGACTTTGCTTTTTTAAATGTGTCCTTTCTTTTACAGGAATTCTGTGATCATATAATCCCGGTCTTGATTGGACTGCCATAATTATAGATTCATTATATAGTCATCTGAATCGGTTATATGACTCGATGATGATTGAGCCTTTTCAACTGTAAAATAACGCAAATATTACAATTGCTGAAATTAGTATCTCAATAAAAGGTGCTGAAAAATTTGATTTATTTAACAATACTTTACCCATCGTAATAACGTTATTGTCATCGATATGTAACAAGTGCGTTTCTTCGTTAAATATTGTAAAGCAACGATGTTGTAGGAGACTTCTTCTCAATAATATATCGATATGCCAACCGCAATATCCACACTTCGTGGGCTGCAAAACGAAAGAATATAAAGCGAGATCTACAATAGAAATCATAGCGATCGTAGGGCCTTAAGTCGTAGAAAATCATTAATGATACTTACAGCTGACGGCATATTTTCTTGATTTTCCATAATTTCGTGGTAATTATAGAAAAAATCAAAATCCACTTCAAAAATCAATGAAATTAAGTTTATTCGACGCGTTTTTGTATGAAACGGAAGAAATCTGGCAAAAAAAAGCGTCGCTCTGCCCCACGAACCAAGATATTAAGCGTTAATAAAAAATAAACTGCTGATTGTTGTGTATAGGCATAAACGGCGCGTACGTAAAACGGCGGATCGTCGGTGATTGGTCGGATCCTTCGATACGCGAATACGCGCGTACAGCGATACGCGTCATGGGACGGCACCCTAAGTAAACCATAGGCTACGTTTACACCGTGAATTTAGGCCGCGGCCTATACCCCAAATTCGACCTAAATTATTTAGGTCCCTCGCTGTAAACATTTGAAAAATGACCTGGCCTGGCTGTAGGTCAGGCTTCGGTTTTTGGTGACCTGACCTGAAATAGGCCGCCTGTAACTTCGATGTAAATGCGCGCTACCCGACCTACAACTATCATTTGTTAATCTCAAATTTGACGTAGGTCATGCCGTTGGTTGTATATGGTTGATATACATTTCTCGTAAAGAGTAACTTGTTGAAAAAATGTATAAAACGTCGTGTTCAAAAAATTCAAAAAGTTCGTGTTCAACAACTGTTCCTGTTCCTGCTGCTACTGTTGAATCTCATGATAATAATCAGATAACCGCAATTAGAGTTTCACCTAATGGTAAACATTTTTCTTAGAATATTTTTATAAACATATAATTTGGGAATTTTTCATATAATTTGGGAATACCTTAATAAATTTCACAATTATACAGAATTTCTATATTACTATATATTTCCGTATTATGTATATTTCTGAAAAAAAATTAAAAATCTAAAAAAAAGTTCAAGTTGTTTTTCTAAAATCATCATACATTTAAAATACTAGGGCTCGGTAAAATAACTGATACGACTTATTTAAAATAAAGTATAAAATAGGTTCCAAAAACTTATTTAAAATATAAAATCATTGGAGTCGGTAAAACAACTGATACAACTTATTTGAAATAAAAAATATAAAATAAATTCTAAAAACTTATTTAAAATATTAAATAAGAAATAAATCAGAAGAAGTTATATGAGATAATAAATACCAAATTACTCTTTTTAATTTTTTTTTATTTTTAAAATATGTATTTTAAATAAATTTATTTGAAATAAGACCGAGCCCTGTAAAATACTACATTAAAAAAAAATATTTTGAGATATTTTAAAAACTTTTTCATCACTAGATGAGCAAACCGAAGAGTGCTCGTATGAGTCTACGAATAGTACACATCCGAGAAAAGGATCAAACTGGACGGATACAGAAACAACAATTTTGATTGAATTATGTATTGAAAAACGAATAATCCAATTAATGGATGGAAAGCGCCATAAACATATTGATATATACAAATCGCTAGAACCTAAAATGAAGGAAATGGGTTTTATTAAAACTGGCGCACAAATGAAAACCAAGTTAAAACATTTAAAAGAGATATATTTTAAATGTAAACGCAACAACAGCGTTAGCGGTGCCAATCGTATGAGTTTTCCATTTTATGATGCGATGGAAGAACTTTTTGGTGGGAGACCATCCGCTGATGCGATTAATAATCGCGGCATTGATTCGTCTAGTGCCCAAGATAATATTCGACGTAATATACGAAGAATTTATTTTCATTAACTTCGATTATTATTTTGATTATTATAGAGTTATTTGATTCTTTATTAATACAATGTATCAATACTTTATAGAATTGTCTGTGGAAGAAGCAGAGGATTCAGAAAATTTTGTAGCTGACAATGCAGAAATAGAAATAGCAGAATCAGAGGGAGAAAAAGAAAGCGATAAGAAAAAGACAAAATCTAAGAAAAAAACAAATGGTTAGTGTAGAGTCCCTATAAGAATCTTCATAGGGACTCTAGGTTAGTGTATATCCATATAAATCACACGCGCGCGCGCGTGAACATATATACGTGCACATAAATAAATAAATAAATATAAATAAATAAATGAATATAAAAATAAATAAATAAATACAAATATAAAAATAAATAAATAAATATAAATATAATATAAATATACATAAATAAAAAACAAATAAATTATAAATATAATAATAATATATTATAATAATAATATATGAATAAATAATTAATTAAATTAAATAATCAAATATATCATATTTACGTTTAGGGCGGTATACTCACATGAAATTGGCAGAGAACTTCGCAGAAGTTTTTACTAAAAGTCAGGCACAGGAAATGCAAGGATTAATGGAAACACAAATGAAAATGTTCAATGAATTTACGCAAACCCAAATAATGTCTCAACGTCAGTGGGAAAATGAAATGTTGGAAAAAGAACATAATCATCAACGTACAATGTTACATAATTTTATGTCAGGAATGCAAGCAATGCAACATAGAAACGTTCAATCGTATTCAGGAAATTTTCATGAAAATTATTCTCCTACACCATTCTCACCGATCCCATTTCATTCAACCACTTCGTTTATAAATTCATCTAATAGACCTGAACCATCTTTCCCATTAATAACTTCATCCTCATCATCAGTATGCAGTAATACAACTTCATTGTCTTATGGTGATTGTGTCCTTTCTCCTTTATCTTCATCTCAAACTAGTACTTCAATGCCTTAACTATCATCATGTATATGTTAAAATAAAAAGACACTTTTTGGTAATTTAATTGTTTGTATTTCTATATTAGTAATTGTTTTAATTTTGTAAAAGTTTAACTTTGTACTCTTCTTTGCGCTGCACGCTCATTGAAAATTATATGTAAATAAAAAGTTCTTATTCTTTCTCTTTATTACTCATTAGACAAAACAAGTATAACATTAGATAAAACAAGTATAACGCGATAGCACTGATAGCATTCTCTAAATACAGATCCAACGTATCTTTGGACACTATACGAGCGTTGCGATCATGACACAATCATTGAGCTTCTTCTAAACTAATTTTCTAATGTTTAAAATTTTATAGAAAATAATATTGGCATTTAGAGAGATAAAAAGAACTTTACGTATTATATACATACATTATCGATAAATAACATCGTAGAAACTTATTTAAACGCAATAAAAGATCAAAGAGGTATATGGATGAAACCGAGAAGTAACCATTTCTGGAGTGAAATTGTTCTGAAGACGTATACTGAGTTAGAGAGAAAATTTTTGAATGCGAAAGGATACATTTGTGTTTAACTTAATAAAGAAAAAATTAATGAATTAAAGTTTTAAGGTAACTAAATTGAATTAAACATTATTAAGTATCTTAAAAACTACAAATCATTTTCTGCGAAAATAATGGCCGAGGTTATCGTAATACACTTCTACGCAGGGGGTAGTTCGCCGCTAGATAGTCTGTTAAATGTTGACGAATGATTGATCCAGTGATATCGTCACGATCCCGATTGCTTCTATCTATTGGCTGTTGATATATTACTTGTGCTTCAGTCACCTCATTGAGCCATTGTTGAACAAATTCTTCATTTTTAGCTACCAATAAATTGTGCAAAATGCAACAAGCACTTGTAATGTTTGGAACGAACGAGTAATTAATATCAATCCTTTTTAGAAGTATCCTCCAACGTCCTTTCAATTGACCAAATGACATTTCTATTTTAACCCTCGCTGAATTTAGATGAACATTGAATGACTCCTGTTCGGCTGTAACTGTCCCTGAATAACTCTTTATTACCCATGGCAAAAGTGGGTACGCTGGATCTCCGACGATTAAATACGGTACTTCTAAGCCATTAATATTTCGCGTACTCTAAAATATGAATATACTATACGCATATGTTAATTCTTGTTTGCTGGGATGTGTGTGTGTGTGTGCGCGCGCGCGCGCGCGTGTATTTTATAATGTATTTTGTTGCTTTACCTGTGGAATAATATTTTTAGCATTTCTGTATAAATTGGAATCTTTGAAAACTGCAGCATCATGAGTATTTCCAGGGTGCCGAATACAAATATTTCTAAATCTGTATATATAAGAGTAATTAATTATTTATGACCACTTATTTAACTATTATTAATATAAATTAACCAATAAATAACGTATACCTGCATTTGTCATCGACAACTGCTTGTAAATTAAAGGAAGGCCAACCCTTACGGTTAACGTAGTCTCGATAACCCTCTGATGGTGCTAATATTGGTATATGTGAACCATCGATGCATCCGATAATTTGCGGT